AAAAGGTCATTTCATGGTCCCTTTAACACGACATGAAAGCAACCCTCCCTCCGTCCGTCGACCAAAAGCTTGTGTGGAGGATGAACGAGCACTAACCCATAACTTTAATTTATAAAATTACATATCCACACTGCATTAGCGTTATGCTCTTTTTCAAACCCATTCAGAACGGGCATTGACCTAAAGCTAAAAGCGCGAGCTAGCTGCTTTGGATAAAGCCCCGGCGGCTGCACGAGCGCTCGTGCAGCGAGTGCTCCAGTCAGGCCGTTCGCGCTTGCATAGTCTTCTCAGTTAGTTCATGCTAAGGTGAGACGTAGTATATATGTGATCGTATTTACCACCATCACGTTGAGAGCGTAGTATTGCTTGCAGCACCAATATGTTGCCTTCGTGACAGTGGGGTCGTTCTCTGATGGGGCGACGATGGCGATCATCGTCCCGTCGACGCAACCAATGACGCCGGGTATCCTGCCGAGCCGTTGGAAGCCCCTCTCGACGTCGTCCCTCTCACCGGTTGTCTGGGGAAAGTCGATCCAGCCGCGCCGGATCCCCAGACACTGCACAATAGCGAGGGACACAGCCCACACAACGATGCTGACGGTAGCCTGATCGCTTGCTATGTGCTCGTCGCTCGCCACCATGCCCTGAAAACTCCCCGTGGCGTAAAAGCGAAGTGCGCACAACACTTGCTATTCCACAGTCATCACCGTCCACGAACGTCGCAGCCTCCTAAACTCAGGCTCCTCGCGCAGTTAGTCGCACAACCAACAGACCACATTCTTGGTGAGACAATACTGCCTCCGAAAAGCTTCCTCCGGTAGTTCAAAGGCATCGCGGTGCTGCCGGTAAAGCCTTCCCGGAGAAAAAGAAAGTTCCAGAATACTGCCTCCGAGACGCCGTCGACACCATGTTTCCTATTGCGAAGAGGCGAAGAGAACAACGACAGACTCGTTCCCTTTTCAGACGAAAGACCGAGGAAACGATACGTCAAAGTGTTGTCACTTCCGGTGGGGGCAATTCGCCGTCTCCGCCCACATTTTCGTAGGGAACTGTCGTCATTCGAGCCTCAACCAATCAGACGCGATGTCGTCACTTCCGTTTCTTTTAGGAGAAACGAAACATTCGTCCAACATAGGTCCCCAGTTCTAAGAACAATTTTAGGACTCCAGCGCCTTCTAACGTTTTTACGTGACTTTTTTTTTTTTCATATTTTCTTGTTACACGGCAAAGAAAGCATGTCGTTTCCTTCCCGTGATGGAGACTCGAGGTTTCCAGCTTTCTGGTCAAGTAGACTAGAGACAAACACCAGAGCCCTAGCTCAGCCTACAAGCAAACCTAGTGTCGTCTTGCAGAACGATACTCACAATAGCCACCACATCCGCTGACGAGTTTTCTGCGAATTTTTTCCGTTTCTCTTCCTTAACTTTTTTGTTTTGCAATAACCTCGCGTTCTTGTCCTTTAAGTTGGGTGTTGCCCTTGTCAAATCCTGTCTTTCTCTTAACTTTCTGTTTCTCCTCGTACTTATAAAGGAATGTTTTTTCTATATGAACTGTTTTTTTTTTCTTCTGTTAAATATTTTCTACCGAGGTGCCGCCTCTAGCTCGCTGATCCACGGCTACAAAATACGCGAGAGGTCCCAGCAGTGAGCATTCAACATGTCTCTTGCACTGTCGCCATGGCCCTCCTTGGATCCAATGTTCGAACTGAAAGGCACCAAGGGAACTGCGAATTTAGAGTTTCAGTGCCTACTCTGCCTCCCCAAAAGAAAGCTTCGTTCATCTGCTAAGTCCAGAATTCGAACCTATGAAAACATGTAAAGGTAAGCGCTTTTTAATTTTTTTTTTTGTGGAAACCAGTGATTTAGAAAATTTAAGATTTTTGAGTATAGTTCATAATTTGGCATTTGCATCCCAATTTTACACTCGCAACATTGCCTTTGGTTATTTTTTTCAGCCCTAGTGTATTCGCTGACGTACGGCGTAATGTACGCTTTGAACAGTTGATAAAGATATTGAGATTTATTTGAGCTCAGGGGAGCCGCGGCGAGTTGCTGAGGGAGTTTACGCAAATTCTGTTTTCCGATATCGGCAGCTCATAATGCTGCTTCCAAGCATACCATTGCGACATGAGCGATATGGGTGTGCGATTCGGTAAAATATTTAGTCTTCTAAAACAAACCATAATCCGTTTCGACTTTAAGTGTGAGCGTAGCAAAAGCTACAAAAGCGAGCTCCGGGCCTTCAGTGTCACTGCCAAGCACGCGCGCTCGTGCAGTGCAATCACATTGTTCAGGGCCGTTCATTTTTCCTCTCTTTCTCCCGAACGACCTCAACTTAGAACGCCAACTGCTCTTGATGCGGAATAAAAACTAAACACAAAACTTAAACGACTTCCTACATTATTCGCTGCTATAGTAATACTGACATTTGTCTACTTATAGCTAATAGATTATCTTATTACCTCATACAGGAATACAAAGTGAAAAATCACATTTTAGCATGTATTTCTCAAAGTAATTGAAAAGTAATCCAGTAAAGTAACGAAGTAATTAATCAATTACATCTTAAAGCCACTAATTTGTAACGGTAATCCGTTACTTTGATGGCCAAGTAATTGTAATTGTAATTAATTACTTTTACAAGTAACGGGCACAAGTCTGCTACTACTGCAACACCACCGGAAGGAGTGGGGGAAAGGCGATCCTTCCTAAAAACTTGGTGACGAAGTAAGATCTGTGTATGATTATCATTGAGATGAGTTTCCTGTAAACAGAGTGCCACGGGACGGAGCTCATCAAGAAACATGTTCACGTCATCCATATTACGAAGGCTGCGACAGTTCCATTGCGTGACACCCATGTTCACTCATTGCAATAAAAAGGTAAAAATAAAAAAATAAACTAAAAAACAGAACGAAACATAAGATGACATCACCATGGTTTAAAATCAATTTTTATATGTAGAGCGTTTTTCTTTTTCGACGTATCTGCCTGCCTCCCAGTGGAGTCACTGGGGGCAGAGAAAGAAAACACCGATCCTGAGGAGGCAGCCTCCTCGTCGGATCTGGGCCCACACTCGTCCATGGGCTCCTCATGCGTCGCCGACGGCCGCCCCTGGGGGGTCGACTGCCGCGACGGCTCACCAGGCCTATTCGGACCAGAGATGCGGGGTGGCCGGTTCCGACCAGGGGGGGCCTTCCCCTGCTCTGAAGTGGATGCTAGTGAGCCAGCATCCACCCTGGGCTTGGGACCCGGTGCCACTGGCACCGCCCCTGTGGGTTTAGGAGGGGACTTCAACGAGAGCCGCAGATCATCCAAAGACGTCTGGGTTTCCGTCGATGCCGTCACTGGTCGTGCCGGTCCCCTGCGCACGACCTCGGCATATCCACCCTTCGATAAGAAAGAAAATTGTTTCCTTGCTTCTACGTATGGTATGTTTTCTTTGGCTTTCAGCGTCAGTAGTTCTTTTTCTTGTTTCCAGAGAGGGCAGGAATGCGGGTATGAAGGGTGGTTGAATGAATGAATGAAATTGGGGTTTTTTGGCGCATCAGCAACAAAGGCCATAGCGTACCAGAACTATGATAAAGAAATAGAAAGGACATGTTGACAACATAGTCAGCTCTCGTAAAGCAGCACAAAAATTTAGAGACGGTGTATAAGGCCAATATCCTTCAAGAACTCATAAACCTGTTTATGTGGTATGAGAGGTTCTTCCCCAAGCAAAAGCATCAGGTAAAGTGGAACATGCTCATGGTAACACAATGCAAAACGTTTGTGACGTTCACCTTCAAATTTCGGGCAGACTAAGAGAATATGCAGAATAGTTAGGGGTTCAGAGCAGAAATCACACTCGGGTGCCTCTTCCCCCCTTAGAAGACGTCCATGGGTGAGATGTGTATGTCCAATCCGCAATCGACACAAAATAACCTCGTGAAAGCGCTCACGATGCCTGCAACTTTTCCACTCACTTAGATTTCTTTTGATGACGTGAAGCTTATTGTGAGTGTCAGTGTCCATTTCCTCTTGCTAGTTCTTTATCTGCCTTCGTAATCTTGCTCTATAATCAGCAGCTGGTATCGCAAAAATGTCAACATTGCGATCAGCCGAAGTTGCAGCAGCCCGATCGGCCTCTTCATTACCAGCTATGCCCATGTGGCTGGGTACCCAGCAGAACTCAATGGCTAGTTTCCGCTCGTCACGAGCGATTGCCACTTTTTTGCTTATGACGAGCTCACCACGTCATGGGTACTTCGCTACTTTCTAAATGGCTGTTGACGAGCACAGCTCGTCAAGTAGCATTTTCTGTTTAAAAACATAGATTGCAGCACTTTCTTTCATCCACGCTTTTCTTGAATGACAGTTTTCACACTAGATGGCAGCAGACATTCCTTGTATGCTCTCCTTGTTTTTTGCGTCTCGCCCTGTTCGCATGAGATTTTCCCGCGCTTTCAAACAAACATGGCATCATCCGTGCGTCGTTCTAGTGCGGTTGATTGTCATCCATCAGATGATAGCGAAAGTGATGAGGATGTTGACTTCGATTTTGATTCTTCAAGTGAAGAAGATAGTGACGACAGTCTCAACGACAGCGAGTCAGATGACGAAGAAAGTATCGATGAGGTGATCGCCAGCTCCCGTGCGTGGTGTCGCATAGACCTCAACAATATTCCAGCGAGACCTCCACGGTTTCAATTCAAGGGTTCATCGGGACTGACATTCACAGTAAGCTCACCCCCACAGCCACTAGAGCTTTATGAGGCTTACTTCGATGATGAACTGCTTGATGTTATTGTAGCTGAGACAAACAGGTACGCATCTCAGTTGCTGAATTCAAGGAACCTGGGCAAGCATTCTCGCTTTCGAAAATGGTTCCCTGTTACACGTAAAGAGTTGCGTGTTTGTTTTAGCCTCTTGATGCTGCAGGGCATTGTAAAGAAACCAAACGAAAGGCTGTACTGGTCGAAAAGCCGCCTGATTGAGACCCCTGCCTTTGGTGAGATAATGCCTGGGAACCGCTTCCAGCTCGTCATGAAAATGCTGCACTCCGTTGACAACACGACCATCCAGAACTTGGAAGGACACCCTCAACCTCTGCTCCGAAAAATCTGGCCAGTGTATCAGGAGCTTGTGAAGAAGTACCATACATTGTACGTGCCTGAGCGCGACATAAGTGTCGACGAAAGCTTGTTACTTTTCAAGGGACGGCTCAGTTGGAAACAGTACATGCCTCTAAAAAGAGCAAGGTTCGGCATCGAGTCATTCCTGCTGTGTGAGTCGGAAAGCGGCTATATATGGAACTCTATAATATATACGGGAAAAGGCACCGACCTGGAGACCTCGTCAGTAGCAACGGAAAGCTTCGGAATGGCAACAAAAGTTGTAGTGAAGCTTGTGGAGCCTCTCTTGGACAAGGGCTACTGCATCACTACAGATAACTTTTACACGTCCCCAGAACTTGTTGACTTCCTGCTCAAAAGATCAACCGATGTTTATGGCACAACACGAGTGACACGCAAGAATCTTCCTCCTGGCCTAGCCACCACAAAGCTCAAGAAAGGCGATATGCTTGCCTTTCAAAGGGGCAAGTGTTTGCTGATACAGTGAAAGGACAAAAAGCTGGTAACGGTTTTATCCACTGTGCATAGTGCTGAAATGGTACCATTCATTGACAAAAGGGGCAACCAGCTCATGAAGCCTGAAGCTATCTTGGATTACAACCACACAATGGGTGGAGTGGACAGGGCAGACCAGATGCTGTCTAGCTACTCAGTGCCACGGAAGCGAAAAAAGATCTCGTAAAAGATCTTCCTGCACTTGTTGGATATGAAGCGACATACAATTCATTTGTCCTCTATCAGAAGAGAAGGAGGCCGAGCATCCCACATGGATTACCGGCTGCAACTTGTTGACGAGATCATCACTAAGTATTCAGGGAATGGCAGTGCCAAGAAGAAAGGGCGGCCAGGATGTCCTCTGAACATGAAGCGGCTTACTGAGCGCCACTTCCCGTCGCACATCCCGCCGACAGAGAATTGGCAATTGGAATGGGACATGGAGTGCGATAACAAGCTTCATGTTACCAAACCGGCTTTGGGAGTTTGGGAAAGCTCTTCATGCAAGAGCCGACTTCATGAAACGTTGTGCCGTTTGAGAATCGGACACTCATTTATAACCCATAGGTATCTGCTTTCGGGAGAAGATCCACCAGTCTGCGATCAGTGTGGTGATAGGCTCACTGTTTTGCATATGTTGTGGTTGTGCCCCAGCCTTAAGCCCAAGCGCCGCATTCATTTCCCTGAATTTTTTCAATATCATATCCCATTTCATCCTGCTCTTCTTCTGGGCGAGAATCCTCTGGTCTCTTTTGAACGAGTAATAAAATTTCTTGGTAGTGTTGGCCTTTTACACCGATTTTAGCTTCTTGGTTATCCGTTTGCAAAACTCACTTTATAGTACAATGAAGCCTAAAATTTGTTTGGCGCAAATGGCCTCGTAGCTATTGCGCCATAAACCCCCAAAATCTCTCTCTCCCCGCCGACAGAGAAGAAGCAGAGTCGATGCTTCACCTCCGTCTTCAGGCCCATCAAGCTTAGAGCAGCTGACAACAGGACCAGCTGAGCACTCAAGCTGGTGGCAGCACTGCGGGGCAAACACCGGTGACTCCAATACCTCGCTACCCAGCAAGAGTGCACCGTCCACCAGAGCGCTACTCACCAAACGTGTGAACTGGAACTGGGGAGGGGCCTTACAATTAAGTGTGGGGGAATGTGGTGTTTGACTGATATACCTTTCTGGTCTGACAACCCTGTCAGACTGGCAACATTGGGCCGGCACCCAGATGAAGAGAACATTCGGGAATGTCGACGTCTGGTTAGGTTGTCATGTCGACGAGAACGTTGCTCCTCGTTAGAATTTCTGTCATTAATGAAGTGTTGCACCTGCCAATGTGCCTAACTTAGCCAGGACTACAACACCTTCCTAACATTAAAGGGATACTGAACCGAAATTTCGAACTCACAAAACAAGGCTGGACAGATAGGCGGGACGATGCAAAACCCAAAAACATCACTCATACAGCGATATCTCAAACGGATCGCCATATCTTTAGCAAAAAAGCGCCCGACTGAACCCGGCCGACAAGGCCGACAAGGCAAGGCACGTCACGATTCTTATTCCCTTTCCTCCTCACTACGTCCCGTGTCGAGCTGGTGAACCGAAGCGAGGAGGAGAGAAGCGAGGCCGCTCCCCCTCATTCTCAAATTCTCCCGGAGGACAGTGATGTCAGAGGCCTCGCTTGATGGCGCCCTTCTTTTCGAAAAGTGCGGCCATCCGTTTGAGATATCGATGTACGAGCAATGTTTCGGAGTTCGTAGAGTCCCGTTCAACGCTTCTAGAGCCTTATTTTGCGAAATTCAAATTTCGGTTCAGTATCCCTTTAAAGGGATACTACAACGAAATTTCGGCGCTCATTTTTTGGTCTATATGTGTTCAAAAGAGCAGTATCACATGGAACATACCAATATCTTGTTAAAAAAGTCTCGAAAAGGAATTTTAAAACAAATTAAACGATTAGCAAAGAGCACCTGGTGGATGTCGCTAAAGCCTCGTTTGTAATGCCCGTCTAGGAATCTTGAGAGGCAGTGACGATAACTGTCTCGTCTCCGGCCACGACGAGAGAAGGGGGGAAGGAGGAACTCCCCTCTTCCCGAGAATCCCTTTTGTATGTCGCAGAAGTCGCTATTGTCCCCCTAGAAGATTATAAAAGATTAACCCGTCACTCAAAATTCGTACAAAAGCAGCCGCTTCGGTGGCTGGAACGACTAGGCCATCCTCTCGACGTCAGCCTCGCCGTAGCTTTGCTCGTCTTGAGACGACCTACGTCACGATTGCGTTGGATGTCACGTGCTCTAAGCTGGGCCTTCTCCGAGCGCTTGCCAGAGTGGGCCGTTTATAACGAAAAATAGAGCCGCCAGGATCAAAATACAAACGTGCGATTGTCATTTACGGATATTGTGGATCATATTCAACCTATTTTTGAACACGACGGGAATATTTCAAATTTCGTTGAAGTATCCCTTTAATATTAGAGAAAATATATGAAACCCGTGGCCACAATTAAAACCTACTAGAATATAACTGGACAAGCTAATAAAAATTCATAACAAAAAAAAAAAACAGCGCAACTCGAACAAAGACAAAATGAAGAGATACACAGGACAAGCGCTGACTAGCAACTCAATTATTATTGGAACGAAAACATGATTTCGTTCCAATTATTGAATTCCTAGTGAGCTTTTCCCTTTTATCTCTCCCTTTTGTCTTTGTCCCAGCCGTGCTGTTTTCTCGTTTTTTTTCATTATGAGCAACATTAAATTGTTAATTATCTAAAAAATAAGTTAGCTATGATTATCATATTTTACCTGCAGATTCCCAACGACAAAGCAAAAGTGTTTGCCCAGTTTCTTCAAACTATTTATTTTTAATTTCTTTTTTTTTTGTTTTTTGTAAATAAATTTAGAACTGTTTGCACAAATTTTAGTAGGATTCAGTTTTCTTTTGGTTTTCCTACGAAACTAGTATTCTAAAAAATCGCTGTACTTTATCGTGTTTAATTATTCACTAAACCTCTATGATATCCACGGTTGATAAAAAAAAAGAACCTAATCTCTTTCACGGAGATTATGAGAGATATGTCATCCAATACCGAATACTTCACTTCTCACAGTTATCCTGACATTTTCTGATATCGAGTGAATATGATTAAATTCGCCACAAAACTACAGTGATTTACATATGCCATATGCGCTTACCTTTCGAATCTTGATCATCGCTGTAGCGTGAGGACTCGGTTTGGAACGATACATTTCTTGTCAACAGTGAGCGTTCAAACTCTTTGAATGTGGTATCATCGTCGAGATAACCTATCCACCGCCCGTCACTCTTCTTCGCGTCTTTAAGTACTTTCTTATAATGTTCTCTTCCTCGCGCAACTCGTCAGATGACGCACTTTCTAAGCATTCAGATACCGAAGCAGGATCCATCGCGGAAACAGCTGGTTTCGGTGGGAGTTTCGTTTTCTCAAAGTGCGCGAGAAGTTTGCGAGCGCAAGCGCACAGAATCTACAACCTAGTGGCTGTTTCAAACTTAAGATATTTGATAAATTTAAGAAACATGAGTAAACTACCTCATTTAACAATTTTGCGTTACAAAAAAAAAAACTAAACACGCAAAAAAATATCAAAAGCTACATTGTTGACCTAAAGTAAGCAAACGTCACATCTGTTTTTTTTTTTTGTTTTTTTTTTTTATTGAAGCGACGTCTGAGAACTTGCTCCCTCAATTCCAAGCCCACATGAGTTGGACGAGCCTTGTGTACAGGGCTATTATCCATTCACCACGCAAGTTATAGCGTGCATGCTCTCATTGTATGATAGGATATCCAGAGTACAGTTCCAGCTGTCCGCAGGGTCCAAACTTCCAAGTGCACGAAGGGCACAAAGTTAGTAGAGCTGTTTTACTAATGCTTTTTCACTTTAGTGGCTGATGACAATGTGCACCTTTACATCTGCGTTTCCCATATTGCATATTGATGTTTGCTTGATGCTACAACCAATGTTGGTCCCCAGAGTGTGCCGCATTATTCACCAGTAAGCTACATTATTGATTGGAATCGTTGCACACATTTCTGCAGCTGGAAGTCGTGACAATGAATCGGAAAACACCCAGCCGTCTAGAAGCCCTGGTCTATCAATTCCAAGCCCACGAGAGTTGAATGGGACTTGTGTATATGGTTATTTATCTATTTGCCAAGAAGTCATGGCGTGCGTGGCATGCATGCTCTCATTCTATAATAGGAATCCAAAGCACCCTTCCAGCTGCAACGACCGGGGTCCCAGCTTCCAAGTATACAAAGGGCACCACGTAAGTAGAGTGGATTTGCCGCATTCTCAAAGCTTACTTTCAGAAGTGAAATTAACCGACTTTGTTTTCAAATAGCCTCAAAGTCCCATGGCAGCCGTGGGGTTCAGAATGCCACAATCTGTTCCCCACCCGTGACAATGTCAAGAATATGATTTTAGAGCGCAGCTCTTAGGCGCCTGTTTCCGGCTTGAGCGGCGTCGCCGTCGCCGTCGGCGTAACCGCGCGGTGCATTATGGGTAAATTTACCCGCTAAACCTAGCGGAAAAATTTTCCCGCTATATCTAGCGGAAAATATTTTCCCGCTAAATCTAGCGGAAAAATTTCCCCGCTAAATCTAGCGGAAAAATTTCCCCGCTAAATCTAGCGGAAAAAATTTCCCCGCTAAATCTAGCGGAAAAATTTCCCCGCTAAATCTAGCGGAAAAAATTTCCCTGCTAAATCTAGCGGAAAAAATTTCCCCGCTAAATCTAGCGGAAAAGTTTCCCCGCTAAATCTAGCGGATAAATTTTCCCGCTAAACCTAGCGGAAAAATTTCCCCGCTAAACCTAGCGGAAAAAATATCCCCGCTAAATCTAGCGGAAAAACTTTCCCCGCTAAATCTAGCGGAAAAAATTTCCCCGCTAAATCTAGCGGAAAAAATTTCCCCGCTAAATTTCCCCGCTAAATCTAGCGGAAAACATTTCCCCGCTAAATCTAGCGGAAAAAATTTCCCCGCTAAATCTAGCGGAAAAAATTTCCCCGCTAAATCTAGCGGAAACATTTTGGTCACGTGACCCGGGGAGTCACGTGACACCCCGAGGTCACGTGACCTCTGAGGGGGGCACGTGTTTGCCCCCACGTGACCCCACCAAGGTCACGTGCCCTCGGGGGGGTCACGTGACCCCCCCCCCACCCCCCGAGAACACGTGGCCCTCAGTACCCTCCCCTCCTCCTCCTCAAGAGCTGCGCTCCAATTCGGCGTTACAGGGAGTGGTAAACGGCTTCCACTTTTTTTTTTTTGATTGGTTCATTTATGCATTGATGACTTGCAGCAAGGTATGATGCGAGACTTTACACTTCATGCCCTTCAGCTGCCACCACTTCCAGACTTTCTGGTAAGCATGGGGAAAGTTACTCTCAGTTGATACTTAAAGCTCTAATTTCGAAAAACTAGGTCCATCCCGTCTGCTTATATATATACATTCAGCCCATTTGCCCATTTGGAGGGTGCGGTAGTCGGAAAAAAAGGCAGACAAAACAAGGCCCGTTAGACCGTTTCGGTTTCAAGTTTCAGCGTGAACCTCGTGTGCTGTACATTTTAAGTTTAATTGAATATTGTTTTTTCAGCACTGCATTATTTCTGCAGCTGTTTGAGATTCGTTTTCAGTTGGTGCAGACAGGACTCTTGACACATTGTATTGCATTTCAAGAAGAAAAGAGAACGAAAGAAACTCCGTGATCAGGAGCGAGCTGCAGAAGAGGGTGAGGAAGAGGTACCACTGCCACCGAGGAATCCTTGTCCAAAACACGTGACCAGGCCTGGCACAGTATGAAGGATTGTTTGAGAAATATTATTTTAAATTATATTATTAAGTGGAGTTTGACAGAAATTCTGTTGCAAAATGTGGTGCTCTCTGCCAATGGATAGGACACAGAAAGCATAGAGGGCCATGTCGTGGAGATGCAGAAAGAACTCTGCAAGATGAGGTCCAACATGGCCTGTGTTGCAGACGAAATGACAAGAACCTTCGCCTCATAGAGACTCTGGGCAACTACTGACGCAGCCATCGTCTCCATGTACCCAGCATACCAGTATGGTACCATCGTGAGTAATATTGAGATTTGAAACTTGGGTGCCAGAGAGGGAGTGCAATTGCGTTGTTCTTGGTTTGCTTTGGTTTTCTAGCTGCAGCAGCATTTCACTGCAGCTACAACAAAAACAATCAACGACAGCCTCACAGCTGCCCTGGCAAAAAGTAGCCTCCGGATCCTGGAGGCTGCTACAGGCAAGCGTCACCTTGGCAAATTTTTTCAAAACCTCGACGGTAGGATCGCCATGGACGACGCCGGTCCATCTGAAGAAATGCAGGAAGACCAGGTATTTCCAGAGTGTTTGCCAGTCGAGGGACGCACCTCAAGAACAGGACATGAAAGAGATCCGGGAGGTCATAAATCATGACGTCATACCTCTCAAGGTCACGACGGACAGCAAGCACCTCAGCATATTTGTTGATCTGGATGTCGAAAGAGCGAGTCTGCGCTTTTCGGTAGACACAGGCTCGTCAGTGTCCATACTCGCCGAGAACGTTCATCGGCAATGGTTTTGCGATCGACTGACTCTGGCATCACCGTCTGTCACCCTGCCGGACTATTCGGGCCTCAAAATTGAAAGGGGCGAATTTTCGCCAACATTGACTACAAGAAGCATTCAACTTGCGTGCCATTTTATGTGGTGGCAAAGGGGACGACCCTCATCGGCCTAGATGCAACCTGCAATTTACAGCTTCAGATTTTTTTGAGCAACCTTGCAGTGTCTGCACACAAGAACCGATAAGGGCCCGCTTCCAGCTTTCGTTTTCCGAATAACGAGAAAGCCCTGCTCTCGGAGCAAGCTCCAAAGTACAAACTGCTTGAAAACAAGCACAGAAACAAGGCGACAGCGGAGGTGAAGGCGGAGTAGGCTGCCCTGACCGTGGAGTTCAACAGCACACTTGGGTTCAACAAGCAGGAAGAGCCACAGCTCAAGAAGTGTTGGGACAATCTGAAGACAAATAAAAAAAAAAAGAAGGCCATTGAAAACCAGAATTGCATTGCAACAGGTAAGTTACCTTTCAAAACTAGGTATGTTAAAGCAACAGTACATGCGAGCTGCTTACATTGTCACTGTGAACTCTGGAGCGAGAAACTGTCTTCAGAGCTCTGCATTTGTACTTCGTCCATATTTTCTTCCCTTCGGGGTTTACGGCATAAAGTTTTCTGTGTTCGCTACCGAAACCATAGCGACCGATTGACACTGGTACTGTGATGAGAATGGAGGTGAGAGACAGTTAGGTTACACCAGAAACTTTGCTGTTGAACACCAGACCAGGGGCCCTAAGCTGGACACTCGGCGCAAAACTCGGCGAGGCGCTGACTATTCTGAATGGCAGGCACCACGACTGACCTTGGGGCCGGAAACTCCCTAGACTCCGACGTCAACTTGGGAACCTCGATCTCGTCGGCAAAATCTCCAGACGTCATTCTGATGTCACGGGGACTTGCCGCGAGATGGAAAAGCACGCCCAGTCGGAGGGGGGCGAACAGTGGAGAGTTCGAGCGAGAAGCAAAAATGGTGGCATACGAGTTGTTGTACTTGTGGTATCGCCGACGACGGCGTTTTTTCATGCACGTCAACGCGTTCGGAATGGACGACAACGAGTTCTTCCGGCACTACCGATTGTCGAAAAACATTGTGCAGTGGCTGTGCGACGAGCTTCGGAACGACGCGGCCTTGAGGTGGCAGCGACGCGCAAGGACGGTGGAGCAGCAGGTGCTTTGCGCGCTGCGTTTCTACGCCACTGGAAGCTACCAGGGCCAAGTGGGCAGCGCCCGGCACCTTGCTGTCCACCAGGAAATCGTCAGCACATGTGTATACGCCGTGGCTACGGCCATCGTGCGCCGCCTCGGTTCCCGGAAGATCGCCTTCCCATAGATTGCCGAGGAACAGGCGGCGACGCAAGAAGCTTTCTTGCGACACAGTTCCTTGCCTGCAGTCGTCGGGTGCATCGACGGTACCTTCGCAGCAATAAAGGTGCCTTAGTTCGTAAGGTAAGACTCAGAGACGCCGTCAAAAAGCTGAAAGCTAGCACACTTCCCATCTCTTTTGTACTGACCTGCAGTGCTTGAAGTGAGGTCAGCACTCACTTGCATTCTTGCAATTCAAGTTCATGTTTTGCAAGCAAAGTTATTGCATAATAATATAGGCCCAACACCCATACAAACCGGTTTCAAGAAAGCGGCAGTCAGGCACAACCGAGAGGAATGTCGCATTGTTCACCCGCCCCATATCCGGGCGTGAACCCCCTACACTGCGCACCAAACAAAACAAACAAAACAATTACGCCAAGCGCATTTGCTCGTTGCTAATAACCATGTCATGTGTTTGCTTTCGCACTAACTTAGTTTGCTGAGACAATTTGGGAGCCACCATTCAGGCACGGATCTTGGGCGTCGGTAAAGGCTCGTCTAAAAGGAAAAGGAAGGTTGTTAGGGCCTTTGTTGTAGCCTATCTCACCAATCAGTATGAAATCTGGGCGGAAGATACACGGTGACATGAGGATCGAAGACATTATAATTACTTTTGTGCAGTAGTGGGGGCGATTTTAATGCATTTTCATAAAAGTTTATGAGCCAGCTTTGGGCACAGCCGCAAGTATACGGTGAGTGCGATCCTTGCTCTTCGCTTCATAAGTAACAAGAGTCGTCTGGCAAACTAAACACTTTCTGGGTTTTAACTAGCGAAATTTCATTTGTGGTTAACCAGTACTAAATGGGATTTGTAAAACTGAGCTAAAGATACAATCATGAGGTGCAGTGACTAAAGCCACGACTCACTGTGTTTGCCTATGCATGTACAATATCTGGTATGTCAAAAACCAAGAAAAAAGGTGCCCCAGTATCTTTTTTATTGTTCGCGAATGCCTACAGTATTGTATATATCTGGGAAGCTATAAAATCGAGAACGCATGCAGTGTATTTGATCATGACGTGGTGGCAAGAACAAAAGTGCATTGTGTGGCATTCCATCCTGATGAGATGCCTCAAATTTCGGAAAAAGTCTATTGCTGAGTGTTAGGAGCTTTCAGGAAACAGTATGGGACATCTATGAGCCTCGTACATATTGTACAGAAAACAACGAGAGAGTCAAAAGGCAATGGGGACAAAATATTCGGGAGAAAAGCCGACAAAAAAGTGAGGCCACCTGGCAAGGACTCGAGTCACTTGAGTCCTTGCCGGGCGGCTTCATTTTTGAGGATCGGCCCCGCCCCAATGGCCTTCAATGGCGAGGTATAACATTAAACCGATTTTCATTTCCAACCACTGTATGGTTTCTGTTCGCTTTGGCGCCAAGGCTCCCCAAGTATTTTGACCAAAATGGAAACTATGAAAATTTAATGTGAGGATCCTAAAGGATGAAAAGTTCTCCAAAGAAGTTTTAATGATTCTGCACAAATGCCTTGATAATCAAAATATGCACATTTTCGCCATATGGGACAGCTTCAAACAAGAGGTTAAAAACTTGGTAATTGAGCGTTCGACCCCCAACAGTATCTTACAAAAACAAACAAAAACATTGCAAACTTTATAAAACTCTTATGTTTTATGAATTAGAATGCATAAATCCAGGTACCTACAGTGATGATATTAATGTCACCAGAGCCCCACTTCAGGCATTCGAAACCAAAAAGTATCGGGGAGCCATCGTTCGTTCACACACAAAAGTTTTTGCTTGTAGAGCAAACCACAAAGCGATCTCTGGATGACGAAAGAAGATATGCGTTGTCTAAAGACATTCTAGATATTAACCGTAATGGTGTGACCATTAAGGGACCAACACTGATTGTAAAAGCATTCCATAATTACTACTCGAATATCTTTGGTAAGGCTATTCCACAGGTGGTCAAACTGATGTTCAAAACTTATCAAATATGTCTTTTCTTAACAACGACACCAAAAAGATAGAAGGCCCAATAACATTAGGTGAAGTAAAAGCCGCTATTGACTCACTTAAGACCGGTAAAACACCAAGACCCGATGGCCTCGGTGGTGAATTCTATAAAAATTTGAATAACAATTGTGCCCAGTGCTACTTAAATTTTTCCAAGACTCTTACTATTTCAAGATGCTCCCACCTTTCTTTTATGACCGTCACACCGTTCCAATACCTAAAACAAAAAAAACAATGAACTGCTTAAGTAGAAAATTACAGGCCGATTTCACTGTGCAATGTAGACTATAAGATCTTCAGCGAAGAAGAAATATGTAATATTCAACATGCTTGGAGTATATTGATTTTATAATGAGTTAAATTAGTAGTGCATCATGGAGGACCAAGCCTTTTTACTATGATTATTCAGGTGAAAACTTGTACAGTTGCAAGCGAGTGGACCTTTCAGTTCTAGGCTCACACACACGGCCAGTTTGCTTGGACCTCACAAATAAAATACAATTGTTTAATGATCCTGCATTATTCTTCAGATGACAAGGCATCTCAAATTCCGGAGCTCACAGCAAGGGGGAGAACACTGGAGGTCAGAGTGTTCTTTGTAGAAAATCTAAATAGTAAGATGCTACAAATGTACACTGGCATTTCACCATTGAGTTTTACAGCGCTTGTTAGCCTAATTGACCGTTTTGAGCTGAACTATTACAGTGGCACAAACGTGTTTAGGCTGCCACGTGTCAACCAGCTGCTGCTATGCTGAACCAAGCTGAAACTCGGGGACGACGACCTTGCCGTCCTGTCGGCGTCAGCCGCACGACTGTACACAATGTTTTCATGACATTTCTGCACGTCCTCTACAAACTATTGTTCGAGAGCATTATGGAAAAGAATTTTCCCAGAGGCTCGTACTCAGCATCAGAGATGCCAAAGTCCTTCAGGGACTTTCCCAACTGTCGGGCAAGCATCGATTGCTCAGAGATTGAAATACAAATCCCAAGAGGCAGTACTGTTTCTTAAATTGTAACCTTTTCAAACCATAAGTCGAGAAACACAGTTAAGTTGCTTGTAGCAGACGCCCCAAACGGGGCGATAATCTACACGAGCGGCTGCTACCTTGGCTCCACTAGTGACAGGGAGGTGGTGAAGGACTGCGGCATACTTGATTGGTTACAATCTTCGACATCATGCCAGGCGGGACCTCCTTAAATATTCCAGTTTTTGCGAGGGAACCGGAAGTTTACACCAGACGAAGTGTCTTACTGCAAGAAGATCGCTTCCTGCAGGGTGCACTTCGAGAAGGCCATCCAATGTGTAAAAATTTACGGAGTGCTGCGAAAGCCGCCAGCACACAAAAGGCCCCTCGCAACGAAGCTCGTGCGGGTATGTAGCTGCCTGGATAACCTGCAGAGCTTTATTATCACTCAGTAGAGGTGGCATGGCTTGCCTGCAAGTGGGGTGGCTTGATTGGAAGTTTTTTTTTTTGCAATGCTTTTTATAGATGTAGATGCTTTACAGCAGCTTTGCATGGGTGACACCATATCTGCTGTGTTAATTCACCTCCATTTTTCTGTCACTGCAAAGTATTGTCTGGTGCACCCACCACCACCACTAGAGTTTTGTGTTTGTGTCTTTCTCTTTCTAAGCTTTAAATTGTGTTTGTTTTGTATGTTCGTATATTTCGTGCATCTGGTTAATTATTTTATGTAATGTTCAATGTAGCTAGTGCATTTTATTGGGCACGTGGGATGACAGAATAGGTTCTCAGTGATAATCAATAGCTTTGAAAATTTACATCAGCTTACTGTAATGAACCAATTGTTTGGAGTTGCCTGGAGTGTCAGTTGCAGTATCGATAAAGTGGGATGAACTTTAGACGACATGTTGGTGCATATTCATAACATTTCGTTGACATGTAAAAGGGTAAGCTATTTGCTCAAAAGCGGTACAGGAATTTATTACTATAACCCGTGCGAGTTATGAGCAAGTGGTTATCGAGTATTCATGCTAACACAGTTCAACAACCAATGCCTCCTGTAGGCTGTAATATGATTAGGATGTCAGCAATGGTGGTCAGGAGGGAGCACCAACTGGTATCAGCTTGAACAACTAACATTTGGGACTAGCATGTTCAAGTGGTGAATTGCTAACTTGTTACCCTTCACAGTTTGATGATGCATGCACTGCACACTAGGCTTTACTAATGTAAACAAAAAATAACTTTTTATGAAATGGTTTTATTTTTCTTCAAGAGTGCATGAAAAATCTCTCGCCAACGTCGCCCCTAGGGGACGGTGCCAAAGCTGGGTCGGGGGCGCTGCAGGCGCGCGTCGGCGACGAACGTGCTTCACCTCGGCTCCAATAAAAATCGCCTCTAATTGCAGTTATTCAACCCGTACCCCGCAAATTTTGGCACCATCGTCTCCGCAAAGTTCAGCGGCACAAGTGGACACCAATTTCATCACGGTGGGCACATTTTTGACGAATTTCTGAGCGTGGGTAGATTTCGCTGACCGCCGCAGCGCTCGGCTTCACGGCGGCTTATCGGCGACCGGCCGCTCGGCCCGGCCAGGGGATCTCCCAGCGATGGCGGCTCCGAACACTGTGACCGGCTACGATCCTGCTTCTATGCAAGTCGTACGCATGGATACTGCTCAACTCGAGGACCTCCTACCATCCGAAGAAAAATATTTGGACGACATGGTCCGAATATGGCG